CCACGTAGGACGCAGGCATTCAGTTTGGCTGAAGCCTCCTGGCTTTAAATAGCCGGCTGGTTCACCCGCTGCTGCTGCTGCTGCTGCCGCCGACGCTCCTTCTCTGGACGAGGCACTTGTTGAAACTGGATCTTGAGGGGAGGGAGGCTCCTCCTTCCCGGCGCCCTCTCCCTTTTTCCCCCCTCAGGCTTTCTCGACCTCTCCCCTTCCCCAGCCCCCTTGCCGTGCAGCCCCCTCCCCTTCCCTGGGTAGCTCTGCCCACTGCCGCTCTGAGCAGCCACCCGCTCCAAAGTGAGTTTCCCTGGCACAGGAGGAGAGAGAGAATGAGAGAGCCTCCGGGCACTGGCTCTCTTTTATGCCAGTGGCATAAAAGCCCCCTTCTTCCCCCCCCCCGTGCCACACATGGGGGGAGCCCTGGGAGGGCAGAGCATTTCCCCCAAGGGCCTGCCTCCTCCTCCTCCCCTGGAGGCCACCTTCTTTCCTCCTGAGAGCCCTCGTTCTTGCTCCCCGGAGGGGGACACGGGCACTGTCATCGTAGCTGCCTCTCCCCCCCCCCGCCCTGCCCCGAGTCTGCCACTGTGCCTGCCAGCCGCCAGAGGAGCAGGGGAGTGGGTGAAGGCCAGCGTGTGCAGCCTCTCTTCCCTCCAAGCAGATTACTAATAATAAAACCGTAACTGTCATTTGAGAAGGGCAGGGCTGGAAGGGACCTTAGAGATCCTCAAGTCCAGCCCCTGTCAAGGAGGCCTGAAAGGGGGGGGGGAGAGATGAGAGATCAAACTCCCAACCTCCAGAGACCTCAAGCGCGGAGCTATCCAGATGTTCTGGAGTGAGCTCAGCGCTCCGGCTCTCTTCGCCTCTAGGCTTCGGCACATGGCTTTCTCTCCGCCTTCCTTCCGTCCTTTGCCTCCCAACGGAAAAGGAGGATTTGCAAAACTCTTTACAGAAGGGCGTAGCAAGATAAGATTTGTGTGGGTCGCCTGACCCTCGGTGGCATCTGATGAAGTAACCGAGTTTGAACCTTGGGGTCGGAAGGGGAGTTAATGAGTTTTCACACAAAGCCCCAGGACTTAACCAGGGATGCAGGGGCAGGGGGCAACCCCCCCCGCCATCGGAGGGATCACGGTGGCGTCCAGGAAGGGCTGGGGGGGGGAGGGTCCTCCCCAAAGGTTCTTGGGAAGGGGCCCCAGTCCAGAGAGCTCTGTTTTCTGGACTGCAGCAGAGCAGAGCTTAGCAAGGGCCGGCCCTATCCTTGGGCAGGGAGGCGGCTTTTGGCTCAGAGGAGAGGCACTGGGGCAGAGAGAGACAGGGCAGAGTGTAGGAGGGCAAGAACATCTGTGTGTGTGTGTGTGTTTGTGTGTGTGTGTGTGTGTGTGTGTGAGAGAGAGAGAGAGCTGTGAACTTCCTGAATTGGTGAGGGCTCTTCCATTCCACAGTCCTCTGGCTCCATACAGCCCAGCCTTTGCTAGCTTGCCTCCCCAGGAGCCGATTAACTGTCTTCTCTGGACGGAAGCGTTTGTGGGAACTGGATGATGGGTTGAGAGTCTTCTCATAGGACTCCAGTCTGGCTCAGGTTTAGGTTTGGTGGCTTCAGCATCGAAGGGCACTTTGTCCTCCTTGGCCTCAGCCGGTGAAATGTCTTTGCTCAGCCCTGGAGAACAAAGTGGGCCACCGCTTGTGGGTCTAAGTGGCAAGGCGCCCTGTGTAGAACCGCACCGCCTAGCCTCAGAGAGGGAAGGATGATTCCCCACCCCCACCTGCTCATGGCTGGCTGGGCAATTCTGGGAAGCCATGGTCCTAGAAAGGAAACCCTTCCAAACTCCAGACTTAGGCCATAGAAAGTTTTTTTTTTAAATCTAGACTTTTGAATGCACAGCCCCAAAAACAAACCGATAATCACAGGCATTCTTGTGAAAAATAGGGGTTGATTAGACATGATTTGTCCCTGGAAGGGAAGTAGAGGGAAATGAGAAGAAAAGCTTAGTCTTTAATGAAAGTTTTTCTCTCCCCTGCTGGTCCAGAGGGAATTAGCTCCTGGGTATGCAGAGCTGACTTATTTCTTTTCAAATCTCTTTTTAATATGTGTTCCTTTCGTCTTAAAAAAAAGGAAACAGGGAAAGGAAAAAAACGGTCCAGTAAGGAGTTCCTTTAGAGCCAAGGTCCAGGCTAAGATTTTTACATCCTTTTAGACAACCTTTGAGGGTGGAGGGATGGCCAGCTGTTGGTTTTATTCCAAGCATGACTACCCCGTCTCCATCCGGAGGCTCTCCTTTTCTCTCTCTCTCTCTCTCTCTCTGTGTGTATGTTCTCCTTCCCAGGGTTCATGGATTATGATCTGATGTGTTTCGCTCCTCCACTAAAACATGGCCCCTTTCAAGTGTCTTGTGCTGCAATGTGCCCCCTCCCCCCAAAAGGCCATTCCCCTCTCGGCACCTTTCTGAGTGGAGATGCCCGCGGAGGCCCTTAGTCCAATTTTTTTGATGTTGTGCTCATTTCTCGTGCATGTTTTTTTTGTGCCATCCCCTTGGAGCCGACTTATAAGCACCTGGCGCTTTGTATCAATGGGTGGTGCGTGTAATGCCGTGACTTCTGTGCAGGCAGGTGCCTTTTCAGGGTAACTGAAAAACCAACGGCTTGTGATCGGAACCCGCACTTAAGACTGGGATGGAGAGGAAGATGGAGGTGGAGCTGGCTAGAGTTTGTTTCAGTCCCTCTTGCACGCACGCACACGTGCACGTACAGGTCCGTTTCCCAGGAGCATCTGCTTTCCTGGAACCGGGCAGATGATGTGACCAGGAACAGAGAGAGGGGCTGCTCCAGATACACGGGGTGGGGGTGGGGATGGGAGGGGGGCGAGAGGCTGGCAGCCCTCAGAAGTTACCCTCCCTCCCTTCCGTGCTCCACCATCAAAGGTTCGGTTTCCTCAGTTACGAAACTCCCTGGGCCTTTTCCAAGGCGAGTTCAAGGACTCAGAAAAGGAATCCAGGCGAGGGAACAGTGTTTATAGCCTGTTGTTGTTGTTTCCCCCTTTTCCCATCTTCTTTTGACTTGGTCCTTTGTACATCTTTTGTACATCTAGTTTGCTCTCTTGTTCCTGCCTCATTTCTTTTACCCCTCTCACCTCTTCTGCATCTCTCTCTCTCTCTCTCTTTCTCTCACCAGTTGCAAAAATCCGGTCCCTTCCCCCATCCTCGCTGCTTTTCCATCAGCAAACCAGGACGAGGTCCCTGACAATGAGCTCTGGTGGGGTGGGGCTCAAATTTGGGCAGGATCTGTGGCAGAAAGCCCTAGCGGACCAGGATGACGGCAGCTGCAGCAAGGCCTGGGAGCTGGACCGGCAGGGGCGGTTGTAGATGGGAGCCCAAAAGCTGCATCTATTCCAAGCGAGCCCTGCAAGGGACATGGACCCCCTGGTCCAACGCCTGGCCTGCCTGCCTGCCGCCGCCGCCCCCCCCCCAGCTTAGCATCTGCAGGTTCTGACTGCTGACGGGAGTTCTGCTAGAACTCAGCCAGAGAGAGGCCTCCTCCGTCACCTGCTGCTTGGACTCTTTCGACTAGAGAAAGGGCCAGGACTGAGCGCTGAGCCTTAGCGAAAACGCAGACCTGACCCAGGGAGCACCGTCCATCAGGACGACGGAACTCTTTCAAAAGCAGCATCCGTGTGTTCGCAGGTTTTCCAGATCTCCAGAACTCTTTGGCCAGGGGAGGAGGGGGCGCGGCCGTTTGGGGATAGTGGAGGACACAGAATGTCCCCAGCCCGGGCTCTGGGTGTTTATAGCTAGAGTGGACAAGCCCTGAGCTGTGGCTCCCGGTGCGTCGAGGGCTCCCTCGGCCCGACGGTCCTGTAGTTGTCCAGAGGGACACCGACCCATCCTCCGTGCGTGATCCAAGAGGGCTGCAAGCCTTCCGATGTTGTGGAGGGTGCAATAGCGCTCAGGCTGAAGCCGATTCACCCACAGCTAGGCTTTTGCGATGGACCTGGATGGATAGGTGCTCTTTCCCGACCCGACTGTGCAGCTGCCAGATCTGGATTCTGCTGGCTGGCTCTGTGAGGCCTGGGGCTTCTTTTGCCTCGGGGGGGCTGACTGTCACCCCGTGTTCTTGGGACAAAGACATCCAACACATTGCAAAAACACACATACACACCCTCCTCCGGCCAGCTGGCCTGTTGTGCCACTAAAGAGCAAGGATGAATGCGATGGCCCCTAAATTTAGCACCCACACCAGCCGTCTCTATTTATATGGCCCTTGCTTTCTGCTTCTCCAACTGGTCTGAACAGAGCAAGGCTGATGGAGAGGAAGCCCCGAAGCTCCACAGACCGGATCGAGAGAGGAAAGCCGCCGCCTTCGGCGTGGATGGCTGGCCGAGGCAGGAGCAGCCGGGCCGCCTGCCTTCCTTTGCGTTTGGTGGTTCTCAAGTTCTGCTTCCCCCCCGCCCTTTAACGTCTCGGCCCCAGATGAAAAAACAGAAGGAGTCTTGCTTTCTCTTTTCTCAGAAGACGGGGGCTCTTTGAGGAAGACCAGTAACCCCCAGATGACAACCACTGATTTCCTTGACTCGGCCATACTGGAAGGAGCCCCCCCCCAAAAAAAGAAGGCCCCTTTGCAGCCGCTCTCAGGGCAAGAGGCGATTCCTCTCCCTGAAGTTCTTCAACAGTTGGATTCCAGGAGCAGCCAAAGATTCGGGTGGCGCTCACTCCAAAGGTGAAGCCGGACCAGCATTCTTTTGGCTTTGGCGAAGCCTCTTAATGCACCAGAAGTCACTTCCGGGACTGTGCTTGGCTTTCGAGCCTTCCTCCTCGCCTCTCCCCACCCCATCCCACCCCCCACCCCCNGGTCCCGAGAGTCACGGAAGGAACCCGCTGGCCGTCCTGCAAGGGCCGGACATCAGCTGGAGTCCACGCCACAGGGGCCCGGCCTTTCTCCTCACAGGAGAGATACTCAGCCTCCCTTGTTTTTGGAACGAGGATTGCAAAGACCTGCCGCGTCAGCAGGTTGGGGAGAAAAATCTAGCAAAGGCAAACTGTTGTTGCATAAAGTAGTACACACACACACACACATACACACGCACATTCCCTTTGGCTGAAGCTGCCAGGAGCCCAGTGGGAGCCCAGTTATAACCACAAACAGGATAGGAAGGCAAAAGGGGACCGAAGGGTGTGATCGGACGGCCCTGGCGGAGACGGAAGCCCCTGGCAACCCTCCCCTCGGGCAGGTGGAAAGAGGCAACCCGGGTCCCAGCCTTCCTGATGCCCCGGACGTGGTGGCTGGGGTGCCCTGGGGGTCCAACCAGGCACTCAGGCGTGGCAAAACAGGCCGGAAAGAAAAAGGGAGCAGGAGGGGAATGAACCCCCCGCACCACGGAAAAGTACATTTTACAGAAAGCCTTTGTCTGCCTGCGGAATCAGGGTGGACAGGCCTCTGGGAGAACTTTGCCCACAGGGCATGTCTTCTCTGACGGCTGCTCAGGCAGGAGGACCCGTTCCCAGCAGCCAGGGCATCTGCTGTCCGAACGGAGGCGACGGAAGAGGAGAGGCACGAATCATAACTATTACCCCACCTGGCTTCCCCCCCTCCCGGGAAGGTGGGTGGGCAGCCAAATCCCTTGCTGCCCCCCACTCTGTGCAGATAGCTGGGAGGGGCGCTTCCTCTCCCAGAAAGCAGCCGTGCAGAAGACGGGAACTGCCGGGCCCTCCCTTTCTCAGTAGAGGAGCCTTCCAGCCACGCGAAGGATGATGGCAGAGCCGCCTTTGCCCGGGCCAATGCTACTCTCCCAAACCATTTTCCTTCCAGGGCCATGGCTGTAAGAAAAGAAAGGGGGGGGGGACACTCGGGTCCCCTCCTCGCCTTCCTCCTGGCGCTCCACACTTGATCCTCATGAGGAGGGGATGGGAAAATTTCTGCCTCCTTTGTCCTTCAGGGCATTTGGCCCAAACAGAGCGGAGAGAGAAAGATGGGCTGGGCGGGAGGAAAGGGCCGAAAAGGGCCAAGGAGGGTCTCCCTTGCCAAAGTCCTTGAGCTGGGTGCAGAAGGGGAAACGACCAAAAAGGAAGAAAGACACCCCAGCCCCCTCCCAGGAGACCCAGAGTGGGAGGATGATGAAGCACGCCGAGTCTCCTGCCTACCAAGGAGGAAAGGTAACCTGGGCGACAGAGTGAAGGAAGGCGAAGAACACACAGTCATTTATTAAGAAGAAAATGCCACATTGGCCTCCCTTGGCTTCGTCCTGTCGGTTTGCCAGGATCAGGAGAGGAGGAGAGGGAGAGGGAGAGGGAGAGGAGGCCCATTGAGTTGGCCTGCTCAGAAGAAGAGCCTTCGGAGGTATTTGGAGGAGGAACCTTCACTTCCAGGAATGGGGGGGTGGCGTCGGCGGCGCCTGGGCTGAGCCGGGGTCCCACTCTTGGGCTCCTTTCTCCAAAAAAGCTCTCTGAAGGCAGGAGCTGAGGCCGAGAGAGAAAGAGAGGGACGGGCAGACAGACGGAAGGACTTGCTCTCGGTGACCCCAGGCTCCGGCTCTCCCCACCCTGTGACCTGCCGCCCTTCCCTTCAGAAGGCTCTTCCTCATCTTCGGTCAGGACCTCACCTCTTGTCTTGGCTCAGATCCGACCCTCTAGAACAGCAGCAAGGAAGCGCTGGGCTGACACGTGAAGAGGAGGCGTCTCAGAAGAATCCCGGACCTCCCTCTTTTCCACATGAAACGTTTGCCACAAAATCCCAGGAAACCCACACATGTTGAAATCAGAACAGCCGAGGCCCTTGTTCTCTCCTGACTTGCCCAGCGCTTGAAGTTGCAGGACAATGACCGAATTCAGAAAGGAGCAGGGCTTGGGGGGGGGGCGGAAGGGGGAGAAAGAGAAAGAGAGAGAGAGAGAAACAACAACAACCGTCGTCTCCTTCTGCCTGCTGGAGAGCAGAGGAGAAGAGATGGCCGACGTGCGGAGGCTGGTCCTCCTGGTCTCGGTGGCTTTCATTTGCCCAACGACTCCTCCTTGGCCTTGGCAAAGCAGGGGTGGCGGCAGCAGCAGCAGCGAGGGCGGCCTCCTCGGCTCCAGGCCCAGCCACAGGGTTTTCTCCTTCAGGACGGGAACCGGAGCCTTGCATCCCTCGGCCTTTGGCGCCTGGGAAACGGAACTCGAGGTGCTGGAAGGAGGCAGCCGGGATCCCTGGGAGGACAGAGCGCTGCTGCTCCGCAGAGCGAGCCTGCACGCAACTCCGCCGGCCCCAAGCGCCGCATGGCGGGAGAGCCCCGTGGCATGAAGGGCAGCGGGAGAGGAAAGGTAGCCAGTCTGTGCTGGAGGGAAGAGGAGCCCCCCCACCCCACCCCACCCCGCCTGTTGTGGGGGCACGGCGGGTGGCCAAAGTCGGAGAGCAAAGGCGGTCCAAACGATTGCAGCGGGAGCCACCCTCAGTCTCCCTGCAGAAAGCGCCCCTTGATGTCGTTTCCCGCCCCCAGACGGGGAAGCAGAAGGCAGAGAATGGGGCCAAGGTCTTCGTGCACAGCGTGTCTGGAGCGCGCGTGTGCGCGTGCGGGGGGGAAATAACGGCAGAGTTTCATTTGCCTCCCCTCCAGTCTCCAGGACAAGTTTCCACGGCCTTCCGAGAACTGGGAAGAAGTCCAGGACTGGGCTCTGCTGTGAAAGGTCACGGCCTCTTTCCCAGGCGGTTACAAAGGTTGTTTTAATGAACCAAAAGGGAGAGAGAGAGAAATGAGAAGACATCGGAGGAGCCGGGAGCGGGATTCAGGAGGGCTGGAAAGCAGGATGCGAGTCTTGAGGCTGCAGAAAGCTCTTGGAAAGCCTCCGGAGCCACTGGCTGAGGGACTTGCAGGTCACACCCGCGCCGCCCCCCCCCAAGTTTTCCAAGTCCTTGACCGTGCGTATATGTCACATATAAAGGATCCCTCTGTCAGCTGCGCCAGCCAGCGTGGGATCCCCGCCTGCAAAACGCCTTCTGCCCGGGCTCCTCTTCTGCTCCCTCGGCTTCTCCGTGGGGCGGCCGGTCGGGGCCTGAGAACGCAATTTTTTCGGAACGAATTAACATCGCTAAGCGAGGCACCACTGTATTTGAAGGGCTGTCATGGGGAAGGACCCGGCAAGCTTGTTTTTCAGTCACTTTAGAAGGCAGGTCCCGAAGTACTGAAATTAAGATTGCAAGAAAGGAGAATTCACCTAAACATTCAGAAGAACTTCTGGATGGGAAGAGCTGTTTGCCCTGCATGCCACCCTTGGCCCGCGTGGGCTCCGGGAATGAGCGAGGCCTCTGGCGCGGCGCGGTCTCCTCCTGTCCCCGGCTGACCCCCCTCGTCCTCCAGGCCCCTGCAGCCAAGCCCTCCTCGGGTGGGACGCCTGCTTGGCCC